AGAATGGAAAGGAATGTTTGTCTTCTCACAAGCGAGGGAGAACAGTGGAGCTCCCTCCGAGTCTCAGACAACACAGATGATGACAGTGGGAGCTCGGATAGATGTTCGAATAACATACAGTTCAATCGATTCCATGGAGGATTCTAATATCATGAATCATTGGTCTCGAGTTTGCGCGCTCTATGTAGATATGAACACCATAGTCACTGTATTTCGGGTACTGAACTCACTTCGTCTTGCCTGTATGCGAATCGCCTACGATGATGATATCTGCGTTAACGGTATCCATTTGGATTGTCACGGGATTCGAACGGAGCTGCAATTGCCCAGCGAATGTTTTGTAGTGGCAAACATTGAGAGGAATACGAGAGCGTAACAGTAGATCGCCCCCTGGCGGTAGTTCTGCCAACCGTAAAGACTGCTGTACACAGCGAAGCGGATGCGATCGGGATGGATCGTGAATTGCTCCAGGGGAATGGAGAGCTTGGAGAGCCACCGATGTGCACCGGATGCGGAAAAAACCGACGATCTCCACTCATTCCGTGCTGGGAGTACTCGTCCCTCGAGACTCCCCCCAGGACAAGCGGGATCCTCCTGGTTACGAGTACGAGAATTCTCGTTCATGATCGGCCGAGAATTGCCTCGCCCCTCAACCGCTCACGACCCGCGGATCCTGCTCCGACAACGATGATGATTGGTTCTCGTGATTGATTCGATGGACTTCACCATCCGCCTGAGGAGGGGAAATGAAAAGAAATCCTCCGGAACATGGATGGATATTCGTTCGCCCCACAGCGAACGATGAGCTGAGACCGGTACTTGGAAGTTCCCGTGTTCAGACGGCTGCCCTCACTCACTCAACTTCCTCGGGCTGATACAGACAGCCAAGGTCTAACGTCCCGGGTACTGTTATTCACATTGCTTCCGAGGACGGATCCATAGAGCAAATGTACCCAGGAGGATCAAGGCCGAGTACTTGCGCTTCCGACAGGAATACTTTTCCGGCAGCAGGGATCGAACCCACACCGCCTCTCGCACGAGCGGCGTCGTTGCGGCAGGAGAGGTAAGGATAACAGCTAGTGAGCAATCCTCACATTATTTATTAGACTCACCTGCCAAAACTTCCGAAAACTGCAGTTCCGTCGAAAGAATGCCTAGATTCGTGGAGGAATGTCCGTCCTCGGCGTGAAGCTCCAGGACAGCTACTGTGGTATTTACCCGCGTGGAGGTCAGAACGTTCCCCTACCCGGGAAGGAGAGTTTATTACCTCGATGCGCATCTACGCTACCGGAGGCTGTCAAATTTCATGCTCTCGCGGCGATGAACCGCTGATAGCGGAGTCTCTTCTCCCTTCAATTACTCGATAGCGCCGGCTGTTCTTGTTACTTAGGCACTTGGATTATCCTTCACGATAGAGATTGTGTTTGGAAAGACTGCGGTGGATTCCCTTCCGTCGATGACTTCATAGGATCCGAATGCTCATGAATTGAATAAACCTTGTTATCTGCATGATCTTGGGGTCATGCATGATTTCGGATTTGAGGGTCCCATAT